ACATGCAATCCCACCCCACTCGCCACGGGGCAACGCCTGGGGGCACGGAATCACACAGCCCACGCGGTTCGCCCCGTGGCAACGCCGCCTGGCGGGAACACGTCCAGTGCTGCTCCGCTCGCAGCGTGGCAACGACAGGCCGGCGAATAAAACACAACACAGCTCTACGCGCCACGAAGCGAAGCCACTTACCGAAACGAGCTCTACTCTAGTGCACATTCGGCGCGGCAGCGCCGCGGAGCCGAACACAGAAGTGTACTCGGCACTTGGGCCCACCGCGGACAGGGGACGACAAGAACGAGGACGACGAGGACGGCGACGACGGACGACAACGACAAGGACGACGACGATAACGGCAACGACGACAACGACGCCGCCGACGCCGACGGGCGACGACCGGCGACGACGGACGACGGACGACGGACGACGGACGACGGACGACGGACGACGACGACGACGACGACGACGACAATGCTGCCCGCCCGTCCGCGCGCCCGTCCGTGCCCCCGCCCGCGCGCACCACCCCGCCCGCCCACGCGCTCGCTCGCCTGCTCGCCCACCCGCCAGCCCGCCCGCGCGCCCGCCCTGCGCCCCCCCCTCGGTCGTCAGCCCCGCTCGCCCGCTCGTTCCTCCCCGTCCTCCTCGCCCTCCCTCCGATCCTTCCGCCTCCGCTCGCCCGCTCGCTCCTCCCCGTCCTCCTCGCCCTCCCTCCGATCCTTCCGCCTCCCCCTCCCTCCCACCCTCCTCCTCGTCCTCCACGTCCTCGCTTGCTCTCCCACGCCTCCTGCCGTCCTCATCCCTGCTCCCTGCTCCCTCCTCCCTCCTCCCTCCTGCCTCCTCCCTCCTCCCCCACCACCCCTTCCTCGCTCCCCACTTCCCCCTCAACCCGCTCTTCCTTTACCAACCTCTGCCCCCACATGAACCCCCCGATTCGAATTCCCAGGTTGGTTTTCCGAATTCCAAGGTGTATCAAGTTGCTGGATTGTTCCTCCAAATTGTTGTTGTTGTTGTTGCTGTTGCTGTTGTTGTTGTTGTTGTTGTTGTTGTTGTTGTTGTTTTTGTTGTTGTTGTTGTTGTTTTTGTTTTTGTTGTTGTTGAACATTATTAATTCTAAAGAATAATTATTGTTGGGACCCCTGGTGCACGGCCCCCCCGCCGCGCCTAGGCCGCAGCTACATTTTCATCATTTTTTCGCGAAAGCTTCAGAAAAGTGGATGGGGTCCAGATCCGGTTGTTTTGTTGTAATCCGTTTTCCCTTGCAAAAAACACTATAAAATGACATTTCTTGTTCTAATATAATCAAATTTCAAGAATCCCTTGCAAAAAATAAGGTAAAGTGGACATTCGCGCGCGCAAGACGAAATCCTTCCAAAACCTTAGTGTTCGCAGCGATTTTAACATAAAAACATCAAAAAAACCAATGGTTTTTCAACAAAAAAATGTCAAAATCTCATCCCGCGCGCTCTTGCGGATTCGTAGGAAACCCAACACTTTTTAAACATTTCTGTCAAACGGGCTTTTGCGAGCAACTTTTTCGAACTTCTGCGACAACGGTTGCGCACCTGCCAGGGCCATCATCCCTGTCAAATAATACCATGCGGGACACATTCGTTTTTTCTTCGCGCGCGCACGCCGAAATCTCCAAAAACCATTGGGCTTCTTAAGAATTTTAGCACCGCGCATCATAAAATCACACGAATCGCACCGTAGGTCCTCGAAAAACACCTGCACGACTTTTCAAAATTTCTACCCGCGCGCGCTGTCCGAATCCTAAAAAAACAATGGTTTTCCAACATTTATGTTACATGAGCTCGCGCGAGCTACTTTCGCACGCTCTTGCAACGGGGTTCGCGCGCCTGCCAGGGGCCACAATCCCTTGCGGTTGCGCCATAGGTTGCGCCCTCGGATGTTCTGTGGAAGGCTTAACAACTTCTGTGGGTTAACAAGGCTTAACAACTTCTGTGGGTGTACGAACGTAGGCTTAACAACTTCTGTGGGTGTGTACTCCACGCCAGTGTAGTAGCCACGGTCGTCCGCAGGCCACGAAGTGAAGTGTCCGAACGTCATAGGGCGGGAAGCTGGGTGTGGGTGGTGGCGAAGAGTCGTGTGGATATTTGGTAGAGCTTGCACTGCCCCCCCACAAAGTGGGGGTATTGGCTGGCGTCGCATGAAAACCCTGGCACTGGTGAGAACACTGAGCGTTCGGGTAAAGTGATTGTTGTTGTTGTTGTTGTTGTTGTTTATTTCTGGGTTTACCCCGTCCACTCGCCTCCCTTCACCGATGGGGACTGGATACTGTCCGCACGAAACATAGCGCGGGCATGTACCCGAAATACAATTGAGGCATCGGGGGGAGGTCATGAATGACAACTCGAGGGGGAGGAGCGAACTCTAGAAGATCTGCGCAAAACAGAACGGACATACTTACTGCTGTAACGGTGTCTCCGAACTATCATGTTGAGTTGGGTCCTCGTTTTCAAGAGTCAGCGCCCCGCGTTCCCGCTCACCCTCCCCATCCCTCCTCCTCCTCCTCCTCCTCCTCCTCCTCCTCCTCTTCCTCCTCCTCCTCCTCCTCCTTCATCCTCCTTCTCCAACACATCCCCCTCCTCCCATCATCATCTGCATCACCAGAATCGTGGACACCATCAGCATCAGCATCATCAACATCATTGTCAGCATCATCTTCATCTTCATCATCATCATCATCATCATCATCATCATCCTCATCATGATCATGATCCGTATCATCATCCTCATCCTCATTAGCATCGTCATCCTCATCATCATCCGCATCCTCAGCATCATCGTCATCGGCATCGTCAACATCATCACAATCCTCAGTATCATCACCATCAGCAACATCATAATCACCATCATCACCAACATCAACATCATCATCAGCATCATTGTCATCGTCATCGTCATCGTAATCGTCATCATGCTCATCATGATCCTGACCCTTATCCTCATCCTACTTATCATCCTCAATCTCATCCTCATCCGCATCCTGAGCATCAGAGTCATCGACGTCATCGACATCCTCACAATCCTCACTATCATCATCAGCAACATCATAATCACCATCATCATCAGCATCATCACCACCATAGCCATGATCATGGGCAACAACATCAGCATCATCGTCAGCATCACATGGTCATCATGACTGACCGTCTACATCAGCACCCTCACAACCATCATCTTCGTCTTTACCATGAACGCCATCACCATCACCATCACCACAATCATCATCATCGTCGTCATCCTCGTCGTCATCATCATTACAAGAATCATCATCATCGCCATCATCATCATCATCATCAGCAGCATCGATATTATTATCATTATCATGATCGCCATCTTCATTATAATCATATGAATCATCTGACAATCTCCATCAGCATACTCAGCATCATCATCGTAATCGTCATCGTTATCGTCATCTTCATCGTCATCGGCATCGTCATCGTCATCGTCATCGTCATTGTCAGCGTCGTCGTCGTCGTCATTGTCGTCGTCGTCGTCGTCATCGTCATCATCGTCATCACCGCCCCATGTCGGCACATCCCTCACATGTTTCGTGGACCCGATTGGGAGCTCCACCTAAGGCCCCTGTGGGAGGGTTCGCACGGCACAACCGCCCCATTTCGGCACACCCCTCACACGTTTCGTGGCCCCATAGGGAGCTCCACCTAAGGCCCCACCGCCCCATTTTGGCACACCTCTCACACGCTTCGTGGCCCTATAGGGAGCTCCACCTAAAGCCCCAGTGCGAGGTTCCGCATGTCACCTCCGCCCCATTTCGGCACACCCCTCACATGTTTCGTGGCCCTGTAAGGATCTCCACCGCAGGCTCCAGTTGAAGGGTTCGCATGGCACCATCGCCCCATGTCGGCACACCTCTCACACGTTTCGTGGCCCCATAGGGAGCTCCACTCAAAGCCCCAGTGGGGGGGGGTCGCTTGCCACCGCCGCCCCATGTCGGCACACCTCTCACACGTTCCGTGGCCCCATGGGGAGCTCCTCCTCAGGCACCCTACGACCCTCTCCTCTTCCCCATCATCTTCCTTCCCCTCCTTGGCTCCTCCACTGACATCCGACGTCGAGGAAGACATGCTCACTCGTAAAAAAATCACGCCCGAAACCCTCGACCCAATCTCCCAGCTGCACTTGTCGAAGCGGATCGATCTGTGATGGCTCTGGGCCTTGAGACCAGGCGAAGACACCCAATGTAGAACAAATGCAACGCTTGGGTCACAGGGTTGATCGTCGGGGATCTGGAGGAGGAAGAGGGGGAGGAGGAGGAGGAGGAGGAGGAGGAGGAGGAGGAGGAGGAGGAGGACGGTCGGGGATCTTTTGACCAGGGACAATCCAAACCCTGATCTGTCAGGCCTTGCAACATCCTGCAAGATCCTGCACCCAATCCTGGGTCAATGCGAAGGACCCTGCAAGCTCCTGCAGGATCCTGCACCCCAACCCGGGTCCATGCGACCCTGGCCTCTGCAGGATCCTGCAAGATCGTGCGCTCTGGCTGTCCCCCGTTTGCATCGATCCCCGTCTCAAGGCTTCCAAAAATCCGATGTCATGATTTGTTCCAATACGGGGTCCCCGGAAGTCTCGACCCATTCCCCAGGACCCGTTTTTCATCCCGAGCCGTTTTTCGAAGGTCCCGGGGCCCAGCGAGGGCCGCTAGAGGTTGAAGGTCGCTGGGGGGGCAGCGTTGTTTCCAGGGCCAGATCCACGCTCGGCGGGCGCGCTTGATCGGTCAACAGCAATCTTTACCGCCGCCCTTCGCGAGAAGCTCTGATTTCAGGTTTGCTCTTGCCCACGATTGGGCTGCTCATGTTTGCTCTTGCCCTACAAAAGCATTGCCCTATCCCCCGTCGCCCCAGAAACACAGACCGCGTTCGCTGCCCCTCAGCGAGCTTCAAGCTAGAGGCAGAAAACTTGAAAAACCTCCACCTTGATTGGCTCAGCGTGCCAGCGTCGGTGCCATCGGCTCTCGCGCGCGCCGCTCCCGGGCTCCTGGCTGGGGCCGCCGCGGCCGTTGGGCAGCGGGGCGCTCCGGTTGTGGGGCAACTGCGGCTGCACGTCCTGGGCGGAGGCGGCGCCGGGGTCGGGCACTGAAGGAGAACGTGGGAGGCTTGGAGTCGGCACCGGAAATATAGAGCATGAGGGGGTGCCTCCACAGGGGGAGGAGCGAGGAGGAGGGGGAGGAGGAGGAGGAGGAGGAGGAGGAGGAGGAGGAGGAGGAGGAGGAGGAGGAGGAGGAAGGAGGAGGAGGAAGGGGGGAGTAGGAGGAGAGGAGGAGGAGGAAGGAAGGAGGAGGAGGAAGGAGGAGGAGGAATAGGAGGAGGAGGAGGAGGAGGAAGAGGAGGAGGAGGAGGAGGAGGAGGAGAACGGTCGGGGATCTTTTGACCAGGGTCAATCCAGACCCTGATCTGTCAAGCCTTGCAAGATCCTGCACCCAATCCCGGGTCAATGCGGAGGACCCTGCAAGCTCCTGCCGGATCCTGCACCCCAACCCGGGTCCATGCGACCCTGGCCTCTGCAGGATCCTGCACGATCGGGGCGCTCTGGCTGACCCCCGTCTGCACTGACCCCGGCAACAGCACGAGGTGGGGGGGTCCGCAAGGGGGAGGGTGCTCCTAGCCTTTGGGGGTGTAGAGGATATGTCGGCCACCATACAAAGCCCGAGTGTTGCCGCCGTCGCCGAGGTCGGGGTCGCCTTCCCTCTGTAGAGGGCTCCTAGATGGGGTCGGAGTAGATGGTGTCGAAGGACCGAGCCGCATCGCCGATACGTCGGCGATACATCGGCGATGCATCGGCGATGCATCGGCGATGCAGCAGCGATGAGGCGTCGACGTGGGCGATGCATCGGCGACGTTGACGTGAAGGAAGTCGGGCTCCACATCGAGCTGCATCGGCGATGCATCGGCGATGCGGCGCGATCATTCGACCCCATCTACTCCGACCCCATCTAGGAGGCCTAGACTCTGTGGACGCGCGCCGCCGATATTGGTGTCGGCGCGGACCTCTGAGGTTCCAAAGTAGCAGGGGCTGGCGGCGCGCACGCAAGAACGACTTATACTTCTAAGACGTAACCTGGGCTATTAGAAGCCTCCTGGATGGGGTCCGAATCCATGGGGTCGTAGGAGCTTGCCGCATCACATCGGCGCTGTATCGGCGGTGCTTCGGCGGTGCGTCGGCGACGTCGGCGGCGCATCCGCGCTGTCGGCATAACTAGGGAACATCGGGCTTCACGTCGAGCCCCGTCGTCGATGCCTCGGAGATGCGGCGCGGCCCTCCGACCACATCCTTCCACTCGGACCCCACCTAGGGGGCCTAAGGGTTCTCTGGTGGACGGGGGAGGTGGGGGAAGTGGGCTGGGGGATACAATGTGAGCGTTTTCTAATTGGGCGTCTCGACATGGGGAGGGAGGAGGGGGGAAAGGGGGGTCTGGCTCTGGACCTCTTCTTAGCGCGACGGATTGGAACAGTGCGTCTCATGGGGGAGGCTCCAACTGCCCGACACAGGCGCCACAAACAGCCAAGATCCACTCCGTAGGGGGGGAGGGGGGTGCGAGGGCCCGCGCCGATCGGCAAAACAATGAATAAAGAAACGGCGAGCGGCGACGTCCCGAGCGTTTCCCTCGACGCTTTCCTTTTTTGGGGGCCTTTGGACTTCCCCTTTGGGGGCTGTTGTTCGACAAATCCTCGTCCAAGCTTCCGTTTGGATACGTCCTGTCGTACCTGACTGAAATCAGCATAGATGGCGATGGCGATGACGATCGGAACCGATCGGTGAAACAATGGTGGGCGGGGGGTCGGTCGGGGGATAGAGCGGTCCCTGGGCCGAACGACCCCTTGGCGGTTTGGCCTCGGTTCGCCGGCGAGGGCGGCCCAGTTCCGTTGGGGTCCTCATGCAGCTCCAACGGGTCAGCGCCGTGCGACGTGACGACGGAGGAGCAGAGGGAGAGGAGGAGGATGAGGGGGAGGAGGAGGAGCAGGAGAAGGACAAGGAGGAGGAGCAGGAGGAGGAACGATATGCGAGGAGAGAACGCGCGCCGCGCGTGCAATTTTGTTGCTTTGTCCAGCGCCGCTCGCAGCCGAAAGCGCGCCGCGGGACGCAAACTCCTCTCTGGAGCCGGGACGAACGATATGTGATGAGAGAACGCGCGACGCGCGCGAAATTGTTTTGCTTTCTCCAGCGCCGCTCGCAGCCGAAAGCGCGCCGCAAGACGCAAACTCCTCTCTGGAGCCGGGACGAACGATATGTGATGAGAGAAGGCGCGACGCGCGCGCCGTTTTTTTTGCTTTGCCCAGCGCCGCTCGCAGCCGAAAGCGCGCCGCGGGCGGCAAACTCCTCTCCGACGCCGTCGAAGGAAGGAAGTGGAGATGAAAGAATGAGTGGGGGGGGGTCCGGGAGGGGTCCGAGGCCCCCCGATACCCACGCGGGGTCACCGCTCGAAGTAAACGCGCGCCCTAACAAAACGCACACATACACGCACACACGCGCGCACACGCACACAAGCACAGGCACCGCCTAAGAAACTCTGACGGGGGACCCTGGGAGCTGCTGGCGGCGGCGCGAGTCGACCGAGCCCATGTTCGCCGTGGCCTCTGCATGGCCACCTTCGCTGGATGCTGCAGTCGCCGATGCCGATGCCACTGCCGCACTCGTTGCCACCCCGCCTCGGCGATCTGCTTCTTGGAGGCCCAGGCGATGGCCTGCGCGCGAGCGGTCTCCACATGCTGCTGCTGGTTCTGCATCCGAACTTGCCGCGCTTGTGGCTGCGCGATCCCCTGCTGCACTGTTGGGGGGGCGTGTCGCCCCGGGACTGGCTGTGCCCGCGGCTGCTCGAACACCTGCTGCGTTGTGTGGGGGCCGTGAAACCCCGCCATCTCCATGTCTGGGCTGATCCTGCGCATGAGTGCGGCCGGCGCGTTCTCGGTCTGGGCCCGGCGCTGTAGCGTGGCTGAGAAGCTCCTCCGCCAAGTGCAAGACGTCCATAACCCGAGCGTCTGTCAAAATGGTCTGAGCTCAGATGGGCTTCTTCCTCCTCCTCCTCCTCCTCCTCCTCCTCCTCCTCCTCCTCCTCCTCCTCCCCTTGCTCCTCCCCCACATGCCTCCTCCCCGTCGCCCTTTTCCTCCTCCTCCTCCTCCTTCCTCCTCCTCCTCCTCCGCCTCCTCATCCTCTTCCTCCTCATCCTCATCCGCCTCCTCCTCCTCCTCCTCCTCACACTCCTGCTCCTCCTCCTCCTGCTCAAGGCTGTAAGAGAAAAGCCGCGAGAATGAAGAGAGGTCGCCGAAGCCGCTGAAACAGCGGCGGCGACAGCGGCAGCACGACACGACAGGCGGCACCCACCGCTCCAAACGCACACTCCGTCAAAGCTGATTCTGGGTGGACGGGTCCGCGCCAGCCCGGAGCATTTGCAGGCTCTTGCTGGGGCGCTTGTTAGAATGGGGCGGGCGCGGCGCACTGCAGCCGAGTTGCTTGACCGAGCCGCCCCGAAAACCCCACAATTGAAGCGCCAACACACACGCCCCCCACCCCCCACCTGAGAACCCGGGCGGAGGAAGAGGGGAAGTATGAGGAGGAGTTGGAGGAGGGGGAGGAGGAGGAAGAGGAGGAGGAGGAGGAGGAGAAGGATAAGCAGGAGGAGGAGGAGGATAAGCAGGAGGAGGCGGCGGAGGCGAAGGAGGAGGAGGAGGAATGCCACAACACCCAGCCCTGCAAATCCCTGGTCTGCTGCGCATTTCCCCGCAACACGTGCACTGATACCCCCCCTTGAAGTTGACACGGACCAATCGGTGGCCTCGAACATTCATCACCACTCTGAGCGGGAGGGACAAGAGCGCAACTTCGCGCAAACTTTCTGGACACTGGGGAAGCCGAGCGTTAACGAGTGCCCCATCGTCCCGTGGATGGGGGTCACGCTTTGGTCTACCTGGATCTCCTGAGCTAAATCTTGTCTCCGACCTTCTGGGGTGTTCTGGAGGTAGGAACTGGGTATGGTCTAGAGGGGTGTGGTGCTCATTTTCTGTAAATGGGGACTCTGGCGAAGTTGTTCATCGCAGATAGCATCGCCACTCCCACGATTGGCACCACCCCCCTTTAAACTCGGGCGCAGCAAAGAGGGGGGTGTACAAGAGGGGGGGGTGCAAATCATGACCGGCGGCATGTGCGCGGCCCAGCGGGGCGGCCAGGGACGATGAAATAAGAAGAGGCGCCATGAAATCTGTCGGCGTGTGCGAGAGGCTTGGCTGTTCGAGTCGTCGTCTCCGTCGGTCGTCGCCTCCGTCGTCCCCTTTCCCTGCAGCTTCCTTCTCAAGCTCGTGAGCGAGAGAAAAATCTAGCAGTGTAGTAATCGAGTCGAAGGGAAGCCCCTTCCCTTTGATCCCTTCCCCAGGGGGGGGGGGTCCCAGGGGGGTGGGGGGGGGTCCCGGGTGGGGTCCCGGGGGTGGTGGGGGGGCAGATTCGTTTTTCCTCGGGCGCCCTAGAAACCTCGAAAACACTCCAAATGAGGTCCGAATGACCAAGATGGCCCCCGAGACGGCCCAAGATGGCCCCGAGTCGCCCAAAGATCGGCCGAAAACGCGCAAGATAGCCCCAAGACCGTCCAAGAAGCCTCCAAGACGTCCCAGGCCCCCTCCAAGAGACCCCCAGGAAGCCCCAAGAGGCCCCCACGAGGCTTCCAAGCGGCCCCTAAGAGCTTCCCAAGAGGCCCACAAACTACCCCCAAGAGGCCCCCAAGAGCGCTCGTCGTCGTCGTCGTCGTCGCCATTCAGGGTCGGCGGCACCGGCCGTAAGGCCTTCGCAATAATATGTGCACACCCCCCAGCCTGCGAGCCGCAGCCCCTGACCCAGACCGGGGGGGAACGCACCAGGGCGGGCGCGAAGCGCCAGTTCAGTTGTATGAGCATATTCATATGGTGTATCTGCACACACAAATGTATCGCTCTCTCTCGCTCTATCTCCCTCTGTCTCTAACTCGCTAGCTATCTCCTCCCTGTCTCCCTGTCTAGAATTTATAGACGCGCAATTATATGAGACCAGAGCAAAACCCAATCAACGTCTTTCTAGGGCTATAGGGCTATGGGGCTATTGGGCTATAGTGCGATGGGGCTATTGAGCTATAGGGCCATGGAACTATAGGGCTATAGGTCTATAGGGCCATAGGGCTGTGGACTATAGGGATAGGGCTATGGGGCTCTGGGGCTATAGGGTTATAGGGCTATGAGTCTATAAGGGTACGGGGCTATGGGGCTATAGGACCATAGGGCTATGGAGCTATAGGGATATAGGGCTATGGGGTTATAGAGCTATAGGGCTATAGGCATATAGAGCTATAGGGCTCTAGGGCTATAAGGAAGTAGTGCTGTGAGCTATAGGGATATAGGGCTATAGGGCTATAGGGCTATGAAGCTACAGGGCCATAGGGCTATAGGCCATAAGGCTATAGGGCTATAGGGCTAGAGAGCTATAGGGCTCTGGATGCAAGGGGATACACACAATTGCATGGGGAGCATGCTGTCTCCTCTTCGCCTGGTACTCGTAAGACGATGGCCGACAAGCATGCGCGACCGACCGTGCTTCCCAACTACAAATATGGATTCAGGTGGGCACAACCCTCTGACTGACTGCGAGCATAATGTTGCACTCAAAAGAACCAATCCGAAACGCTTCGTCTGGTCCCACCTGGACGCGGCCCACGCTGTACAAAGTAATGGGCACAGCTTCGAACAACTCGGTCGCTCTCACCCGCTGTGCTGATGATCACAGTGTTGCACCCCCCCCCTCACCAAACGGTTGCTCTTGTCCTGGGGATTCCTTCTGCCCAGCAGCCGCTTGGTTTGCAAGTGCTGGGTCTCGAGCGGGATCCTGGACAAGCGCAGCTCCCGCCCAGACTGCCCTTTCCGAGCGCCCCAATGCAGTATGGCCGTGTGAGAAGACGTCACGGGATGATGGGCGATCGCAGGGCACTCCTGCCGCCTTTGCGGAACACGGTCAGAAGGTTATCTCAAACGCCTCAGAATACCGCATGAGGTGTCACGTGGCAAATGGAGATACCACGCGAGAGGGCACGTGTAAACAACGCGGCGGGGGATGGGGGATCGGATTCGGGGCCGCGGCGGGGGATCGGATTTGCGCAACGAAAACTCTTTCAGTCTCACGATCGACGTTCGGTCATTCCCACTCGTTCAGACTGCATGGCCAATACCAGGAATCCAATGGGCCCAGTATTTGTCCAACTCCTGGCCTTTCGACAGCCTCCAATCAGCCATGTCCTTCCCTGGCCGAGTCATATGCTGTGTTACAAGAGGCCCCATTACACCTCCGCTTGCCCGCGGGCTCAAACTCCTTCTTTCCATCGCGAGTTTCATCCTTGGTAGTAATACGTACTACTTGTACCATAATGCAATAAGAAATGAACGCTACTGGTAGAACCACTGGTGAGTGGTTACATCATTGCTGTACCGATGGATGGTGCGCCGTAGGCAAACGTGCTGCTGGTGCTGCTGTGTCAGATGATGGCGCTGCTTCTGACAACTAGGCCACGACTACGAGTACTTACAGTGCGATTCATATGCGGGTAGTTTTCCGAAGCCAGCGCCAATCTGGCAGGCCCAATCTGGCAGAACGGGGCAATCTGGCGAGGGAGCAGACGCCCGAATCACGCCAGTCTGGCGATTAACCAAATTCATCCAGTTTGGCCAGGCAGAGTTGCCCTTGGGGCCCCAATCCAATCTGACAGTCTGGCCTTCGACTACCCAGTACTGTGAGTGCGCGCCGTTGGTTGCTCCAGAACGGATAAGGTGCTGGACGCCACCCGCCGCGCCTTCCCGATCCATCGTCCCGAACATCCCCTCTTTCCAAAGGAGGGGGCTTGAACCCTCGCCCCTCCCTGGAGGAGGAGGAGGAGGAGGAGGAGGCGGAGGCCAAGAACAGACAAGGCCGCAACATGTTGCACCACTCCCCCCCTTGCCCTGGAACTGCGCCCCTGCCGCCATACCGCCCTGACCCTCGCGCCCTAACCCTAGCACAGCAATCCCGACCCTGACACCCTGGCCAGAGCACAAACTCCAGCCCTAACGCTCCACAACCCTGGCCCCAACACCCTAGCCACAGCGTCATAATCCTAACCGCCGGTGGACGGGGGCCCACCTCCGTGGGGCGCGTGGAGAACTGCATGCAGAACCACCTCCGGGGTCCTCGGTGGAGCTCTCTCTCTTTGGGACCACGAAGCGCGCGAAGGGCGTGGAGGAACGCATGGGACACGCCCTCCCGGGGGCTGCGGTGGAGCTCCCTATGGTGGGGCCACGGAACGTGGGGGGGGGTGGGGAGACCACCTTCAAGACCTCCTCCCGGGGGCTTCAGTGACATCCCCTGTGGGGCCACATGGCGGGGGCGGGGCGTGGAGAACCACCTGCAAGACCGTCTCTTGGTGTAATTTCGGTGGAGCTCCACATGGGGGCCGCGAAGCGTGCAGGACAACCTGCGAAACTCCGTTTTGAGGGGCCCGGTGGAGTGCCCCACTGGGCCACGGAACGTGTGAGGGGTGCGTCAGGATGCGCGGGACTGGCCGCGCCAGCCCACTCGCGCGAGAACCCTTCCGCGCCCGCGCGGCCTTGTCTTTCCCCCCCCCCCCCCCCCGCGAGGCCGCCCTCTCTGCATTTTCCCCGCTCGCATGCTGGCACGCGTTGCTTTACGGTGCCCCGTCTCGCTTTCGCGCTGGTCCAGCCAACGCTGCCTCGCCGCCGATGGGAAAAAGTGTCGAGATGCGTGACCAGCGGGGAGCAGATGCGGAGACGGGGAGGCAAGGATGAGGTGGGACGAAGAGGGGGAGGAAAACAGGAGAGGAGGACGCGGGTCGCTGTCTTTTCGAATCAAGGACGCAACACCACAGGATGGCAGGGGACACGTTAC